TGCGTCCCTTGCCCCGCTGGTGACAGAAAGCATGCGGAGGGAAACCCGCCCTTCCTTCGGGTGGACATTCAGCATCCCTGGGAACGTGGCAGTGCGGTGGTGTGCCCGACTGAAATGCCTGGGCCTCTCGTCTCTGCTTACAGTTAAGGGAAGGGCGTTTGTGCGGGGACTTAAGGAACAGCTAGCTTGTCACCTAGGGGCTTTCTGATTTTTAGCTATATCAGGAAAAGAAATTTCGAATACTTTGGCAGCGGTATGACATTGTGCGCTTCCCCAGTTCTTACCGAGGTGGCTAAGAGCAGGCTTCTGCGGTGTCCCATAGCTGCACAGTCTGAGCTACTGAGATGTCTGCAGGTGTGTTATTCTGCTTGACAGAACTTACTGAGCGCATTTGGGTTTTTCTGAATAGGTGAAAGGAGATTTTACTAGCTTTTGCGAAAAAAGGGCGTGGGGAGTTTAAACACGATGGCAATACCGCCGTTAGAATTTCTTCATGTTTAGTCCTTAGGTCCATTACAGATCGCAGTGTTTATGGAAAACTGCCTTTCCTTTTTCAGTTTAGGAGGTGTAGCCCAGGAGGCTTGTTAATGTGCTAACGGTATTGTGAAACTTGTTTATCTTTTTTTCCCCCGAGGCTAGGGATCTTTTGGTTAAGTGCCTGAAACTTTTTATCTTTGATTTTCTTACTATACTAGAATTACCCTAGTAAAGATAAGATGAAAGCGAGGGACCTAGATCATGTTTATCAAAAAACAATCAAGTACCATCGCTGTAACTCGTTTAAAGGATTAAAAAAGAATTATTGATGATATTAGTTTAGTGATACTGGTCTGAGACAGATCTGGTATGTAGCTGTTGTTATAGTGCAGGAATATTTTTATGTATGGTACATTTAGCAAAAACTGGGGTAGGAAAGGGGAAGAGCAGTTAGACATTAGATCAATTTTTAGCGGTACTGTAAAACTGTATGTTCAGGCTCGAGTGGATTTCTTTTTCCCTGAATGCTGTGAATTTTGTATGTTTCTTGTTCTCTGCAGACAGTTCTCTGTTAGACTTTTTTGAACATGGTGACACAAGAGTAGGCAGGGCAATTAGCAGCTTCCAGGGGTGGATGCTCCAGGAGAGTAGAAAGTGTCAGGACCCTGTTGTTGGGAGCGTGCTGTGGCCAAATGCAGGGACATTATGTTGCTTTACATTTAGTTTTATCTGGATGGTCCCTATAGATGCGCTCAGGCACGAGGACTTTTACGTAAGGATTGCCCAGTTGTCCATAAAACGTACCGAGCTGTTATGTATCGCTTACGTTAGCTGGTACAACAAGTTGAATTGCTGAGATGTGAGAGTATTGTAGAATGAACCGCAGGGGTAGTGTATTTTGAGTGCGCAAAGGGAAAAGTCAGTGAATATGGGCAGTGTGGGCCTGGCTGGCCCCAGCGCAAGGAGGTTCTCCAAAAGCTGCTGGAAGTCACAGCTGCTCCCAGTGGGCTGGCTTGGGTTTAGTGGTGGCATGTAGGAGATGACCAAACCTCTGCAATGCTGCATTTGTGCTACTGGGAAGGCAGTTGCTGCAGAACTGGTAGGGTAAGAGGTGAGTGATACATATTTTCTGAAAGCTTTCTGGGTTTTAGGTTGGTTTGGGGTTTTTTTATGGTATAGGTACAACGTAAATCTCTAAACTCAGTTTTCAGATATTGTCCATAAGAGCTCTGGGCGAACAAGTGTTTCTTTTTACGTGTGGTTCATGGAGGAAGTGGATGGGTTACAACACTCAAACTAGAGGCCTCTTAAGTTTGGTCTCGGAGCCTCCCACACTTGGTTTCAGGAGTTCATGGGTGAGATTTCGCTACGGATCAAGGCAGTGAGAGTTGCGTTTGTATGTACTGGGAAAGGAAACAACAGAAGCGGGATGATTGTGTAACTTCAGATCTACTGCTCACGACTTGGGTACTACAATGCTCAGACGCGCTGAGTCAGTAAACATCCATTTCGGATTCCTACATCTTTGTTCTGTAAACAAACCACCTGATGTAAACTTATGGGGCTATTTTCTTTTAAGCTACGTTTTCTGTTGTAGCTTTGTCTTTTCTCAGCAGGTCAGCTCAGGCTATGTTATGGAAGAAAGAAGGGCTTATCTCAGCTGTGTGTGGCTCTTTTGCGTGTAAGGTGCAAATAAAATATTGTGCCTGGGGGAGAGCAAGTAGAAGTATCCGAAATGGCAAATACTGCATTTCAACAACTAAGTAGCAAAGGAGGGGGGCCTTCTTGGCTGGATGGGAAGCGTGGTGAGAACTTAAGGGAGAAGGTAGAATTCTTGAAGGCTTCTGCAGATACGCCTGTGGAAAGAGAAATACTAGACTGGGGGGAAAAAGTAGGTTTTGGTATTTTTGTTTTAGTAAAGCATTTTTGTGTTCTGTAGCTATGAGAAGTAGCAAAGGCTCAGTCTCTAGAGTGGATGGAGCTTGAGTCGTCATCTGCTTTATAGTCCTGCCCTGCGCACATCCAGACATGGACATCGGACAATATAGAAGTTAAATGTTATTAAATGTCGTGAATTCTGTGTTTGTTAATATTCCCAGTATTGCAGCAACATTAAAGCTGGCAGTGAGAAGTTGGTGGGGGTGGAGAGTTAGCCTTTGCCAGAACTTGCTTCTCATAAGGATGTTAATTTTTCCTTTAAAAAGGGAGAATAAAACAAACTTTCTGGTTTTCTGTGTGTTTGTTGCTTTGTTGGTTTTATTGAAAGGTTTTCATTATTGGTTCATAGAAATTAGCCCTCTGTAATGAGCATGAAGCCCTGGTTATTCTGGGTTCTTGTTGCTTCAGAATTTATTACTGCATTTTCTTCGGGTTTGTTTGGTTTTGGGGTTTTTTGTTTGCTTTGTTTTTTTAAGAATACAGTCGTCTGTGCTGGGTATGTTGACTTTTCAGGTCATGCAGAGATTTTCTTTGAAAACGGTGAAGTATTACTCCATTATTATTGCCTGGCAGTGATTCAGTTGGCAGTTTTCTTTTTTTCTCTTATCTCTGTTATTCTAACTTTATGCTCTTCTTCCTCCCTAATCTGTCTCCTGTGTTATTCTTTCCCAATTTGCAAATCAGTTATTAGTATTCTGCAGCAGTTTGGGGTTTGCAGACTTCAGAAGACGTCGTGTGGTGCAGCCATGCTGTGTGCAGGACTGCTGGAGAGACTCACTGAGTGCGAGGAGGTTTGTTGTTGGTGTTAGCCTTCCCGTGTGGCTAGGAGAGTCTTCTGTACATTCAAAACAATAGCTCTGTTTTCTTTTATGAAGGTATTTGGACACTAAACCTGATTTTCCTAATGACAGAAAGGGGAAGAGATCGTGGATGTATGGTCTGGTTTTGAGGTATTTGTTGTGGGATAGAAACAGTGATAACATTGTCTTGTTCCAAGAAATCCACATTTCTTCCTCACCCCAGCCACAAATCCTGAAAACCCAAGTTGTTTCTTGGTGAAATTCAGCCCCAAATAATCCTGTTTTTTCACCTACCCTACTTGAGGACACTGGTGCTACCAGGAAACATTATTTGAGAAAGGGAATCGGAAAAGTTTTTGGTTCTGTTTTTAAAGTGCCAGGGAGTAGACATTTAAATAGATTTTTCTAAGGAATGTCTTTATGCAGAGAAGATGAAGTTCAGCTGATTCTCAGCTTGTTCTGACTCTTCACAATGTTCTGCTTATTTTAATTAGGGCTTTTGAAGCTGGGTCATGTGTTGGTATTCTTTGGTCTGTTGTTACTACTATGAGTAGGTAGTGTAATCGGAAAATCTGGCTAGAAAGATTACCAGCTTTATGTTACACTGAACTATTTATACCTTTGGGATTGCAGACCCTTCTGAGTGCAGTTATCTCATTTATGTATCTACAGATTTCTGTTTCTAGCGATAGATTTCTTATTTGTTTATTCTCCTTTTTGCATTAGAGTCTATGAACATAAAGTTGGAATAGAAATGTAGGTGATGTTAAGTACCGAAACATAGTGCATCTTTCTGTCACTATTTTCTTATGGCCATTTCTCTTTCTTTTAAATGTAACATTAAGATTTGCAGTTGACAGAAGAGTTGATGTTGCTTTTATAAAGTAACTCTTTACTTCCAGAAAAAAACGGATGTGGGTCACTTTACTAGAAGAACAAAAGCAGAACTCGCCCGTGTTTTGATGACTTTAAAGTTTCTCAGGTTAACCGTGAAGTATGTTAGAAATAGCAGGTTGCATATTTTGTTACGCTGCTCTATCTTTGGTGTGGTCTGTTAATTCAACAAAAGAGATGTTTCTGTTTGTAAGTGAACAATGTTATATTTGAAGCTAAGGGATTTAATTGAAATGGTGTTTCATAAAGACACAATCATGGAGAACATGTGCCTAGAGGCATTAAAACTGTTGAGATGCAAATCAAACAGGTTTTGCCAAGTGGTTCTGAACCACTTCCCAGTTTGTTTGCAGCATGCATATCCTGTATTTTGATTGTAAGTTAAAGAAAAAGCTTGCTTGTAATAGAAATACGTACACACACAAAAGGTATTCAGGAGTTTGTATAACATGAAGCAGAAAAGAAATGCAAACCAGTTTGTGCTTTAGTATCTTCTGTTCTGCTTTGTTGAAGGAATTTGTGCGTCAGGACATTGAGAAAAGACTATAGTTAACATATGTCCCAGGGTAACAGTTCCTGCAACGCTGTTATCATTTGTAATAAAGCATCTACAGTACCTTTCCTCAATCTGGTAGTGTCTTGCAAAGACTAATAAAACTATTGATGTAATTGTTATATTCATTTTGCTGCTTGGGAAAAGGAGTGGGACGGGATTTCCCAAAACTGTTGTGAAGAACCTTGTATCTGTCCTTTAGCTCCTAGCCCAGTGCTTGGGATAGATTTGCTGTGTATTGTTTCCCTCTCTCCTGGCTCTTGGGTTGCAGACCTGTCATAACTATTTCTTCTTCAAAACAGAGCATTTTGGTTTCAGACTCTCCCTTTCTTTTCCAGGTGTTATTTTTGCACCTTATGGCCTTGTCTGGAAGCAACAGAGGAAATTCTGTCTTTCAACACTGCGTTATTTTGGAGTGGGAAGACACAGCTTAGAACCTAAAATCATTGAGGAGCTGAAGTTCATTAAGGAAGAAATGCTGAAGCATGGAAAGGATTCATTTAATCCCTTTCCGATCATTCGCAACGCCGTGTCCAATGTTATCTGTTCCATGGCCTTTGGCAGGCGTTTTAACTATGAAGATGTTGAGTTCAAGACAATGCTGAAGAACATGGCCCGCGCACTAGAGCTAAGCGTGAACAGCTATATGATCTTGGTCAATATCTGCCCTTGGCTGTACTACCTTCCCTTTGGGCCTTTCTGGGAACTCAGGAAAACAGAATTAGATATTACTGCTTTTCTAAAACAAATAATTGCACAGCACAGGGATACACTGGATGCAGCAAATCCCAGGGACTTCATTGATATGTACTTTATCCATGCGGAAGAAGAAAAGAACAACAAGGAGAGCAGTTTTAATGAAGACTACCTATTTTTTATCATTGGTGACCTCTTCATTGCAGGCACAGACACTACTTCCAACACGTTGCTGTGGTGCCTGCTGTACATGTCTCTCTACCCTGAAGTACAAGGTAAGACTATTTTTATTCTAGGTGTTTTATTCCAGACTGTAAAGCTCTAGATGGGTGTTCAGAAACAGAAGCAAACAGTGACAGTAGAGAAGTCATTTGGAGCGCAAATAGTGCATGTGTATGTGTAATTTGAAAGGTTGATACATAATCAGACATCTTGTATCCTGCTCTACTATGATGATCTCTAGGTTAGTGCTATATATTAACTATCTAAATGGTCCTTTAGTCTGTGCATTTCTTATGTTTTGGGACAACTTTATCTTTCCCAAGCACTTCCAGGGAACCTTAGCATATTTCAAAAGCTCTGACAGTTGAGGCATTCCAGGCCTATAGTGGTGATACAAGATATGTCAGATACGTAGTGGTAAGGTCTGCTTTTATACCTCCGTGAGCGGGGAGGTTCTTGAGCCTAGCGGCAGAGTCTGGGAAAGAGAAACACCACCCACTGTAGAGGAAGATCGAATTAGAGACGGCTTAAGCAAATTGGACTTAACGCAAGTCCACGGCACCAGCTGGTCAAAGTCATTTCAAGGCCTCTCCCCATCAGTCTTGAATGGTCATGGCAGTTGGGTAGGTTGCTGATGGTGGGGTGGGGAAGAGACACGTGGAACATGTGGCCCCGAAGGAGAGGCAGAAGGAACTGGACTTGTCCATGAGGGGAGACCTTATGCTGTCTACAACTACCTGATCGGACGATGGTAAGAAGATGGAGGCAGTCTCCTCGGAGGTGTGCAGTGGAGGGAAGAGAAGCAGCAGAGACAGTCTACAACAAGAAAATTCTGATCAGATACTAGGAAAAAAAATTTCCCTATGAAGATAGCAAGGAGTACAACAGTGCCCTGAGAGTTAACAGAATCTCCAGCTTTGGAAGTATTCAGAACTCAGTGGGGGATGACCCTGAGTAGTCTGATCTACCCTCAGAGCTGGATCTAACTTGCAAGATGACTTTGCTTGGAGTAAGGGTTTAGATCAGGTGACCTCCAGAGGTTCCTTGCAGCCGAAATTATTTGATAGTGCTATGATCTGGTTACTGTTTGTGACAGAGTTCTAGAAAATTACTTGTAGATTTTTGTGGATATAAAAAATACCAGTGGTGTTGGAGAAGTTACAATATTAAAATAGTATTTGCTAGAGTTGTATTTCAGGACGACTTAGGATAAATTTCTGTCACCAAAGACTTAAAATTAATTTTGATTAAATATTTTTCTATACTGAGTCTTATTACAGCATTTTCTTTAGTACTATTTAGCAGATGTAGATGGTTGAATTTAAGAAAATAAACCAATTTATTAATTTATTAACAGCCTTTCCTAAAGTCCTACCTAGCAACTGATTTCCACTAGAAAGATTGTTGGGTATATGTGGACTGGAAACCTTGGCAGGATGGACAGATTCTACTTAGGTAATTCTACCTCAGTTTATAGTAGTGAAACATTTCCCCAAGAGACCACTGCTTTCCCCAGACTTCTTGCTAACCTGGGGCGAAGAAGGGTAAACCTCAAGTTATCAAAGAACAACATAAACCTGGAGTACTTTTATCAAGTATTTGAGATTTTGAGGTTTTCATGTGCTGCAGCTGCTTTGCGAATAAGCAAATAGATACTTGTTTACAGCACCTATCTATCTGGAATAATCTTTTTAAATAGGTCAAGATCATAGTTTATTGCACAAAGTCAACCAAATTGTTGAGCCAAGATTGCAAAATAGGGCATCAGTTCAGTATGTGGGAGAGTGAGTCCACCAGGGACAAATATGTAATAAAATTTTATTACATAGGCTTATTCTTCTGTTTTTAATGGTTGCGTGTTATCATTGCTTGACTTGATACGCAGATACAGCCAGTTTTGCATTTTACGTGAAAAAAGAGAAGGGTGGGTGTGCGTGCGCATGCATGTAGGGAGGCAGTGGGGAGTATTTGGTTTGGTCTGTTCCCTGGCTTGGTTTTGGTCCTTGACTTCTGAAGCTCTGTGAGATTTTCAAATATGTGCAATGTAGTGGAGTAGATCGAATAACGTGCCCTTAGCGGAGAACTGTTGAAGTCTATGTTTTGCAGTTGGTAATGTCAGCAGCAGTTTGGATGCTTTCTGTATAGTTCCACATATCTTTGCAAACTCCAAAGAAATGTTGTTCAGGATAAAATGCTCGTGTGACATTTGGCATGAGGCAGTCTCCTTAAGTTTTATTTTTATATTGAAAACTTTACTTGTTTAAATGACTGTAGACGTGCATACCTGAATACAGGGCTATAATGTGTCATTAAAAAAAATGTAGCAAAACCCCACAAAGCAGGTTCTGGAGAGCCCCACCATCAGCAAATCTCTTGCTGTTGGAAGTATTTTTTACTGTGTTCCTCACAAGAGAACTTGTTTTCCTAGCAAACCCAGCAGGTGGCAGCCACTGTTCGCTGAACACAGGTTGTACAGTATTTCTGAAGGCTTCTCTGAAAGCAGAGAAACTTTTCTGCATTGAGCTTTTATTTAATCTTGAATCACTGCTAAGGAGAGAAAAGAGCAAAAACTCAGAGTACAGCAGCCTGGATTCTGAATCTTGGAAAAGGCAAGCAGGACAACCACAAAATATTCAGGATATCAAGGGTAAGAAATGAAAACTGACTTTTGTTATTTTTGCTTGAAGGTTAATTTTGAGCTCACCTCTTCCAAGATTGTCTTTTGCTGTGTAGCCAGATCCCAAGTTACCTGGAAGAAAAGGCGTGTCGTCTTGTACACGAGTGAGGCAAATCTTGCATCTTGGGGAATTCTATGAAGAGCATTACTTGTATGTTGAGTCTTTAGTGAGATGAAAGGGACAAAGAAATATTTTGACACTTTGTGCCTCACATGAAGGAGAGGGGAGATAAGCTCGTTAACTTCTGTTTTCCCATTGCAGAAGGACTGTGTGGGGGAAGGAGCATCTGCTGGTGCCTTTTGGGGGAACTGGGAGATAGCTGAGCGTAGGCTCTGTGATTAGGAAGTAGGAAACAGCAAGAACGAGTTAAATGGCTTCAACACTTGCAATAACAGCACCAGAATTCCTGCTCCAGAATGAAGTATCTAAAGCAGCTGCATGAAAAGCTTTCCCATCTCTTCACCACCTTTCCCAGTTCTGTGAAATGGATCTCCCCAGGGACAGAGGCCAGCTCAGGCACACACTGCATGCAGTCTCTTTTTGTTCATCTTTTAAATGCAGGCCAGAAGCTTGATGTTTTCACCATTCGAATTGTTAAACTCTTAAACTAAGATTATGAACACATTTAGAACTGGAACTTCTCCTGTACTTTTCCAATACTAGCAATATCTATCATCTCAGTAGCTTTAGTCTTGACAGTTGTCAAGATTGCGCCTGGTTGGTTGTTCTTAACTGGGTTCGTTCTTAAGCCTTAATGTTGGCATACTTATTTCAGCTAGGGATCACATGTCTTGCAGTTATTTTTGACAAATTCTGTAAACAATGAAGCACAGGCAAACGGAATTGAGATGATGTCTTCTCACATATTGTGCATCTTTTTAATTTTTTTTTATTTTTCTCACTCCCTTTGAATAGAGAAGGTTCATGCAGAAATTGAAGCAGTTCTAGGACGTGACAAAGTTCCCTCTCTTACCCACAAGGCTCAAATGCCCTTCACAGAGGCAACCATTATGGAAGTGCAGAGGATGACTGCAGTTGTTCCCCTTTCTGTTCCTCGAATGGCCTCAGAAACTGCTGGTAAGCATTTGTAGAGACTTGTTAATACAGCATTTCTTTTGTGGATGAAGATCTGATGGGACATCTAGTGAAAATTTACAAAGACCTCGTTTATGTATTAGACACGTCACCCACGTATGTAAAATGCCATTTATAAAAGAGTGGTGGCCTTTGAGATGCTCTTCTATTTAAACAGTGTGTCTGACCTAACATCCAAAAGTTTTCTCGTTTAGAGCTATTTCTTTTCTGGGGGTCAGCGGGTATTGACTGATGTGCTTCGTGGTAGTTGGCAGCTGAGACTCCACCTTTCCACCTGAAACAGCAGAGCTGTTTTTTGGCCATCTGACACGGAGGTCTGAGAACATGAATTTAGAGCGATTGGTTTGCTAAAGCTTGAAAGGCTTATAACATTGAGCTCCACATCTACAGAAAACAGTAATAGATTTCCTTTTCCAAGTCATTTTGTTGGCTACATGTTTTCATAAACAGAGCTGAACGCTGGCTGAAGTGAGTGGGAGGAAGCAATATTTGACTTTCAAACCCAGTACTGAATTGATCTGCTTTTTTAAATATTTTGGCTTTCAGGACAGTGAGGTGCAACTAGCTGAAATGAGACTAGTCCCTTCAAAACCCTTTTGTGATAACAGTTCAAAACCCATCCCTCTTCCTTACCTCCATCTTCACTGCGGTGGGGCTCTGACAGCACAGGAACAGGAGGAAACTGAGTCACACACTTCCACACAGCAGCGTGCATTTCTAACGATTGCTGCTGCCTTTTCCCTGCAGGGAGCTGTTGGTGTAACTTGATGTCTTTCCAGCTGCTCTGGCCTGCATGATTCTGGCTGGAGCAGACTAGCAGAGATCACTTTTGCCTTAAGCTCCTGCTATATTTGCAGCCCGCAGCTAGGGATCCGCATCATTTTTTGTGACATCTTCTAGTCATCTTTTTAATAGTATGTCTCCCGTGTTTCCTTCTAGCAACTTGTCAGATCCTCTGTCTCTGTGCTTTTGTTTAAAGTGCTGCAGGGCTATACTATTCCTAAGGGCAGTGTGATCGTGCCCAACTTGTGGTCAGTACACAGAGATCCTAACATTTGGGAGAAACCAGATGAATTTCAACCATCAAGATTTCTGGATGAAAATGGCCAGCTCATTAAGAAAGAGGCATTTATTCCTTTTGGAATGGGTGAGTTATCCACGTGCAGTCAGTAGCTGGTTGGGGAGGCGGGTGGCATTTCAAGTGTCGGGCCTTGGAGGCATGAGGTGTAAAAGTTGCGCATAGGACCAGCTACAGAACTTGTTTTATTATTACAGTCGGTGGCTTGCAAAACGGGTTGGGTTCCTGAAGTCTCCAGTTGCCAGGCAGAAATGAGAAATGATGAATTGTCCTTTGATAATACTTTTGCCATGGATGTAAATGCTGTTAATATGAAGCAGTACAACTGAGCAAGGCTTAGACTCAAATACGGGAGACTAAAGCTTCAGAGTTCATCGCTTAATAGTAGCTTGAGCCTTGCTGTGTTTGGACTATACTAGCAAAGGAATTGCATGTGTGTTAACAAATGGATCAACAGTATCAAACCAGTAATATGTCTCTTTTAACTGTTCTTTAGGTAAACGTGTGTGCATGGGAGAGCAGTTGGCAAAAATGGAGCTGTTTTTGATTTTTACAAGTCTAATGCAAAGTTTTACCTTTTCGTACCCTGAAAATGCTGCAAAACCATCTATGGAGGGAAGATTTGGTCTAACTTTAGCTCCATGTCCATTCAATATAATAGCTTTGAAGAAATGATATAACATCAAAAAAGATTAAACAAAGAAATACTGCACTTTTAAAATCCAGGTTTATTTTGTTTCCAGCTTATTTTGTTACTTTCTTTCCAGAAAAATGCTAACTGCATAGGCTTTCATAGTCAGTGAGAATGATCCATTTACACTTCTGGAAAGAGAAGATTTTTTTTTTTTGTGTGTGTGTCAGCTGTTGCATTCCACAAATGAACTGACAGCATAGTTTGCAATTTCTTATTAAAACTTGCTGAGCTTAACCCCTCTGCCTGTAAGCTATTACTGTCAGTTTGTCGAATGTTAATTATGGGAGAATGGTCCAAAACGTCTCTTGATGCTTTAGCAAATAGTAATTGTTATTTTGGTAAAAGCAATACATAAACATTTAATTTACCAGATGAGTGAAGGACATCATCTAATACCAAAAGGATTAATGAATGAGGGGGTATTAACATTTTCTTTGTAAAGAAACATTATAACTGAGCTTAAATAATGACACGTACTTTGTGGAAATGACTAAATGACACTTCTATTGACCTTGGAGGATTCTTTCTTGCAAGTAACTCTTAGGTGTAGATTGGACCGAATCGGTCTGGATTGCTGGATCCAAACATTCTTGACTATCAGGGCTCACTATCAACAAGCAGGTACCAACTCTGAAAGCCCAGACTTGGAGGCCAAATGAATCCTTGAATATGCCACGTTCTTAACATGAAAGGAGTGTGCAGTGTCTGGATGCAGATGTTTTATCTCAGAATATAAATGAGAGCAGATTTCTCTGACAAGAAGCAGCAGAAGTCTGTTCTCTCTGGTGCCAAGCAGATACTCAAGACAACATCTGTGCTGCCACTTTGCATTCGCTGTTTTCCCATGTCAGCAGTGGCTGCGGTCTGGACGAGACTAACAGCCCGCTCGTCAGGGAAAACTCTACGTGCATAATCCTGAAGTTGGGGCTTGCACTCAGGTTTTTCATTTACAGAGAGTGTGGACAGTACTGCCACAACCTGTTTGGCTTTGGGAACTGGAGTCTTGCTTCAAATACGGTATCAATATGGCACTGCAGATGTAGGTCTTACACATTTAGGCATGGAACATGAGGAATCTGACACATTTGAGGTTTGAGTATAAAGGCTTTCTCTTTGTTATCTTCCATACGCAGTAAAAAGATCTGCAGTTCATACAATATTGGTGTATCAGTACCTTACTCTTTTCACACACAAAATTTTAGTGCTGTTTACCGCTGTCTAAACCAATTGCCAGGGAAACCTATTGTTAGGTATTTTGGAAGGGGGCACTCAATCTTGCCTCCTGTTTGAAAGATCTCTGAAACATTGAAAGTGATCTTTTGGGGGACACGTAACAATCAACCTTTAAATAATTGTCCATAATCATCGTTAAATCTCTTCATACACCTTTTGATCTAGAAGGATTTCATGTCACAGGAAATAAGTACGTATGTACTCTTTTAAGGAAATATTTCCCCCCCCCCCTCATTGGAGATCTAGAGAATACTAGCAGTCCTCCTAATGTCAAGTTTACAAGACTGGAATGTAAAATTGACTGTTAAGTGGAATTGGGTATTCCATAGCAGAAACTAAACCTAAATTGTAAAAGAAGAGTCAACTCCTCAGATTTAAATTAACCTCCGGTTTTGTCAATTTATAACTTGAAGTTTTAAAAGCCAGGTAGTGGCTAGCAAAGACTGTAAGATGGTTATTTTGGATTTAAATTAAGGTTTTCTGTTACCTGTTTTGAATAACAGAGAGCCTTAATTTCTGAATGATGTATTTGGTTGGTCAGGTGCCCCACTGTTTGTGTGAGAACTTCCAGTTCTTATATAGGCTAACTTTTGACTTTATAGGTTAGCCCATGCTCGTGTTAAATTTTTTCTTTGTATGAAACTTTTGAAAACCCCATAGCACAATAAAAAGTTGAGTTTGGTACTAGTGCTAGTAAACTTGCCAAAAAGCTGACAGTCTTGAAGTAATAAGGACTTATTTCTTTAACTTTGTATTTTCCAATGAAGAAATAGATTCTGTACAGTCGGGATTTTTGTCTGGAAATCCTTCAAATAGTATATGCTTAATTGTGAAGCTAAAATTAAGTGCTGATAATATTTATCTTTCTGTTGAAATGCCTCTTTAAGAAACATAATGATGTTGGTGTGATCACTTGTGATCGCTTATATAAAATACCTGTCCTTTTAATCAACGAGGACACATTTGAAAAGCACTTTAGTATTTTTTTTCTTTACAGACTCCAAAGAAGACACAATTCTTGTAATCCCCTCGTATGTGAAATTGTACGTATTTGTGCTTGTTTTGCCTGCTGGGTTTGGTTTAAAATGTCACCTTTGAAAACTATCCTTCAAAAATTATCTTTCCACAAATAGTACTTTGAGAATGTGGTTCTTTGGTGATACCTATAATCAAGTGCTGCATAGTGCAACAGGCTAAAAATACTGATGTGAAGGTGCAACCATGTCACTGTCTGCCAGAATGCAAGATGCTGTTGGAAACGACAGTAAAGACCTGCCTTTCATGCCTTCCAGATGTACTGAAATTTTCACAGGATGCCATGAAAGTAGCTAAACGATAGTATAAAAGCACCAAAATGTTTGTGGTTTTAAAAGTGTGTTGCCATCTTTGGTGAACTGAAAGTAAAGTGGTAGCAGATTTGGTTTGTGTTTGTAAATGTATCCTTCCCTTCCCTATTTTTGTAGTAGAGGAAGCATCTCAAATGCCTTATTGAAAAATGTATGTTTATATAAGTGGATGGCTATTTTTGAATGCTGAAAATGACTTTATTTCTAAAAATGATTTCAGTCTTTGCTTCAGTGTAATTTTATTTTTAATAAAGTAATTCCCAAGTGAGCGTTTGGCAGCTTTGCATAGGCATTTTAATGAGTTCCACTTATTGACTAAGCTTGCGGTGTTTGGTGTTTTGCGTCTTAGAAAGAAAGCTTTTGAGTGAGAAGATGTTATACAATATTTTGAATGAGGAGTGAAGGAGGTGGGGGAATGAAGCAAAATTGGGAAAATACAATGTCAGGCATGTTATGATCAAATGATAGAGTGTGTTTTAAAAGCACTGTTAACTCAGAAGAAAAGGAGAGGGAAGAGTAGAGACGAGGAGGATAAAAGGGCAAATGAGTTGTCACCAGGAGGAGATGCACAGTCTGAGGAACGAGGTGGGAAAAGACAAACCGTGGGCAGAATGGAGGTGTATTTTATTGGACTCCTGGCATAGAGGGAGGCGGAGAGGGAAGGGGGTGCCCAGGGAGAGCCTGGGGTGGGGGGCAGAGATCTGGGGCCTCTGGCCCGGAGGGAGCCCAGGGAGAGGCAGGAGATCCTTGCACACAGAAGGGGAGGGCTGAGCGGGAGACAACTCGAGTGCGGTGGGGAAGGAGTGGGGGTGAGTGCTGGTGTGTCCCTCGGGGGCAACACCTGTGTGTGGAAATCCTCTGTCTTGCACCCTGGAGTTAGGTTGCAGGTAACTTGGCACGGCGCTATTTTTTTTTTTTTAGGGAATTTCATTAACTACCTGCTTAGCTGTCATTTGTATACACAAGGAACGGTAACTCTGAGTCTCGGTTTGGGTAAAGCTGTTTCCAGCAACCACTTACTGTTCCTGACTAATCTGCTGTGAGATGAGGTTGAGTGAGGGAAGGGGGGATTTTTTTGCATTGCACTTTTGGTACAAAGTGCAGAGATATGAGAATATTCTGCTGCTTTTGTTTGAAGAAAACAAGTTGCTTAATGTTTACCCCGGTGCTGACTCAAGTAAAATATGTTGTAATTGCCGTGTTGTCAGCTGCCACTGTTGCTGACTTGAAGTGTTGGTTGTTCTGGAATTAGATGGAAAATTACGGTGGTCTGCATCTGCTATGATTCAGGCAGTATTTATAAAGGAAGGATTTTATTTTAGAGG